TACTTGTTGCATATGAAAAGCCTGCAAATCTTGTAGTGTTTTTCAAGCCACTGTAGGTCAATTTTGAAATTGAATAGCGATACGCCTTGAACTTCTCTGTGGATTATTGTCTACAACATCTAGAATATCTTCTTCACCTTCCAATCCGAGCCTGTGTTATGTTTCAGAAATATTACATGCATTTCTAAGCGACGCAGTCTCATTTACTATTATAGTAGAAACCATAAACAAACATCAAATTTGTATATTTATTACGTGGAAATTTATGAAGCATTTTCACAATTTTTAAAAAATTCCAAAGCACCTGTATTTAAAATTGGTCATTGAAAACAAGTTAGTCAAAGTTATCTGAATAAACTTTTTATACACTTTGGTTGTTTTGTAATTATTTTTAATTGGTAGGGTTTAAATTACAATTGATCAGTGTTTCTTGGAAACAAATAATGACGAACATATGAGCTTATTTTGACTTTCTTATTTCCATGGTTTCCTGAATCGCCCTGTATTATTTTAGATTTCAATAATTTTATCAGTACAGTTTTTCCTTACAAGAATTATCCTGCCAAAGAGTTTGAGATCTCTGTAAGCAGAAATCCAGCTTCAATCGTCCAATAAGTTTTAATGTGTTAATAATATGTTACAGCTTTATTTTGAATGTGGGTAGCGGTAATTTACTAAATTAAACTTAACAATGGAAAAGTTTAAAAAAAAATCCTCTTTTTGTAGGTGAGAGATAAAGTGTAAAAAAATTAAAATGTAGAATACAGTAAGTTTTAAATCATGTATTTATAAGACTTTTTGCTTATTTTCTTTTTGGTAAAGAATTGGTCGGTAGAAATTAACAAGAGTTTTTATGGATCCGTTGGATGTAAAAAAACTCTCTACCATCGCTCAATAAAGAGTATTTTACATATTTTATTATTATTAAAAGACGCCACATTAAGGTATTTGTTTTCTTAGTTCAATAGAGTTTTACGAAAAATAGACTTATACCTAATATACATAGCGCAATTATTTTTAAGATCAATGGACAATGTAGATGCTGGAAAATAAAGTTGTGTTTGAGAGTTATATTTTCAAACCAATTAGTTTGTTATAATCACAATAAGGATAATATAAATAAATATAATGTTAATTTATAAATTCTTTGGGATGTCGTCGTAATTCGGAAATTTGTTTGTTTGTTGAAACAAATGTTAAACTTCTTTATTTTCCAAAGTTTCGGCAGTGCTCTGCTGCCTTCCTCCTCAGGGTTGCAGATACTGTAAGGAAAACAAGAATGCAAAATCTATCTAACAGACCTATTGTTCTTGAAGAGCATATTTTTTTAAGAATTATTACAAACTCATAATATTTATACCAAGGTTAAAAATCATTATAATAAGCAAATAAATGTAATTATAATAAGGGTAGTTTAAAGTGATGTTCTGCTGCCATATACTTAGTATTTGGTTCAAGGCGTTTGAACGTTTTTCCAATTGCAACTTAAATTTTTTTCTTTGTTTTTCTTCTTCTTGAAATTCCTATCGGATATTGGAAATCATCGCCATTACCCGGACCCTGTCAATCGCCCGCCTGAAGAGTTCTGCGGACGTGCAACCAAACCACTCTCTCCAGTTGCGCAGCCAAGAGATTGTTCTTCTGTCTTTTCTTTTACCCTGAATAAATAGCTTAAGGATGTTATAATATATCTACTCTCAGAACATGCCCCCGAAATTCTCGTTTTCGCCATTTTATGGTGTTTTTATTATATTATAACTTCTTTAGCGTTATTCATTCAGCGTAGTACTTCTTTATTCGAAACATTGTGAACCCATGGTATTCTCAGCGACCTCCTATATGCTTCTATGTTCTTGATCTTTTCCGATCTAAGTGTTCAAGCCTGCATTCCATACAATAGAATGGATATTATATCTAGGCCTAGATATGAACCTAAAGAAATCCAAAGGCATGACAACTTAAAAAACCAAAAACAAACCACAATAGACCATCTATAAATATTCATAACAACCTGGAATGGGTATAATATCTCTTGCAGAAAAAAACTTGTTAACACAACCAGATGTTGTAGGTCTTCTAGGCTGTCGGCGACAATAACGGTATCGTCTGCGTATCGCAAGTTGTTAATTATTTCCCCGTTTTTGACAAAACGACCGGTTTCTCCTCACTCAGATTTTCTCCGACTTTGACTCGAGCTGTTTGGTGCCAATAGAGATTGGATATTATTCTTATGTCTTTGCTATCGATGTTTTTTCTCTATAGTATCTCTAGGAGTTTTGAGTGTTTTACTCTATCAAATGACTTTTGAAAGTCGATAAAGCAGATGTACATGTCATGATTCATATCTAGGCATCTCTGTCTCAATACGTTCAGTCCGAAGAGCGCTTCTCTTGTGCCCACGTCCGTCTTAAAACCCATTTGAGTGTCACTGATTTCTTATTCTAATTCCTACGGTTACGTATGATTTTATGAAAACTATTTTCAAGGTGTGTCTCATTCGGGCAATTATTCTGTGATCTGAACATTATCTGGCTTTATTTATCTTTGGCAGTGTCACGGATTTTGAGGCTAGCCAATCCCTACGAATTCTGCCCGTCTCAGGCACTTCGTCAGGTCCTGCTGCCTTTCCGGGTTTACAGTTTTTAATTGCTCCAGTATACTCCATGTCTGGGTTCGCCAGTTCAGTCCTATTATCGTTGAAAAGTTCTTTATATATTCGCTCCACCGTGCCAGTTTGTCGGTCCTACAATGAAGTCTTGTTTACCAACACATCTGACTGTCGTCTCTTTGCTCTTCCAGTCATTTCTTTTATATATATATATAAATAATCTTTATTTCCTACAGAAAAAGGCTATCGACCCAATCGGTCTTTCTGCCCTTTTCTTTTATATTTTTGTGCATATTGATAAAATGGTATTTGTCTTGATAGGCTTCAACCTCTCGACATTCATCATGAAGCAATTTTTCCTTGGCCTGCCTCACTTTACCTCTGCTTTATGGCCTTATAGATTTGCACATCTTTGTTCTTATATTGACCTCGTATCATAACCAAGTCCAGGATCTCCTGTGTTATCCATTCCTGGTTCTTTCTTTTAATTGATTTCAATTCTGCATTTCCTACATCCTTCAGTACTTGTTTTGTGTTTTGCCATTGTAGGTCTTTAGTGATATTATAATTATAGTTGTGTCGTAGTTCGTTTAATTTGCCGTTTATGTTACATGAGCTCCTGGGTATGTTTTTACTGACTTAATAGTATTTCTGAATTTTCTACGAATCATAACGTCTGATTGTGCTTTCCAATTATAAAGACGACGTGAGGAAGCTGATAGAATATGTTGGTTATTATCATGTCTTCCCTTTGACAGAACTCGACCAATCGTTCTTCTCCCTCTTTGCGAAGACCTAGTTCGAACTTGCCAATAGTACAGTTAGTAGTAGTATGTTGCACTCTCTTGTCGACTATTATACAATATTCTCAATTCAACAAATAATTTGATTATGGTAACATGCAGTAAGAGTCGTCTGATTATTGCAATTTCTTCAATTATGACTCAATAGTGACTTATAATTATTGTAGCGTAATTAAAATTATCGGCGAATTGTTCTGACGCGTTTATCGGCTCAATTTGGAAACCCATTTTATTGTAATTAATAGCTGTCAAATAAAAGTTCCATTAGACGAAGTAGAGTGATCTGGCGAAAATAAAGATAAAGCGTTATTTCAGCGATACTGGCCTTAACCCCTACATCGGCAACGCCTTGGATATGGACTGTTATAAAATAATTCTGGAATTTTTAAACGGGGAAACTAATATTTTTTCAGTAGATGGTCCAGTTTTCAATAAGCTATTGATTTAACGCGACAGCCTGACGACAAATTAAAATTTAAATCTGGGAAAGTTACAATGTCTATGATTGTTTTCTCGATATTCTGATATATTTTAAGCGTTGCATATTTTAAATTAAAATTTGAAATTTTTCTTTTATGTCACCATGTCAATGTTTCCGCCTTTACCCTCTCAAATAACTTTCCCTTAATAGTTGTTGGTGCTCTAAATTGCAAATATATTATCCAAAGTTACTTGGTGGTACCAGTTTAACAGCCTCAAGAGTCAAAAAGCGAAATATTGATTGAACAGAACTGTGCTGTAATATGAAATGAGCTTTCATTTATTCATTCATTTGCTTAAAAAATTCTCAATTTTAAAAATAATTTTTCACTATATCTCTTGATAACATCTGAAAAACTTGTGATAATTTTTGACAAGCTATTTTACTGCTATTTGGCAAGTTAATTAACTCTTAACAACAATGCAAAATATGAATAGATAGAGGACGACTTATTCAAATTGGTTATTCATTAATTTATTAGTTTAATTAGTTTTGATAAAATCAGATTGCTGCAGTAAAAGGAGGCTGTAAATATGTTAGTACTGGTTAGCAATACATTTTAATTTGCCCTGAAAATAATGTTAGTTAGCGGATGTACGATTATAAGGCATTAGTCAGAAATCCGAAACGTCTTTCCAACGTGTATAATTTCTCAAAGTGCAAGTTGCGATTTTTGTTTGCTGTAAATGACCGCTCTGTGCCCACCGAAAATGTCTACAAGTATACACGAAAATTACATTCCACTGTTCTACGATCGTTTGTTTTCAGTTAGCCATTCTTGTCCACTGGATGGTTCCTCATTAAGCAAGTAATTGTTTATGGTCAAAGACAATTAAAATTCTGCATCTAAATATCGTTTCCTGCTTGCCTATTGTTCGTTCGAATATTTGTGTCGTATCAACAACAGCACAAGCCTTATCTGCGAATCGATCCTTTTATGCCGCTTCATTAAAATGAAAAGAGAAGGTAGTGGAGTTGTGCGTCAAGACAATTGACTGAAAAGATCAAAGCATGCCTATACATGTTTAACCAATTTCACAAAATAGGTCAATAATTGATCGTTGGGTTCAAGATAATTCAAGTTCAAGAATTTTTTTTTTCATTTCAGCTTAACGGTGATGATGAATGGGAGTACGAAGAAATTATATTAGAACGAGGAGGTGCAGGTCTAGGGTTCAGTATCGCTGGTGGAACGGATAATCCTCATGTCGGCGATGACACTGCCATATACGTCACGAAACTGATAGGCGGAGGTGCAGCTGCAGCTGATGGACGGCTACTTGTTGGCGACTCTATACTGGGTGTCAATGAACAGCCCGTGGTGGATGTTCCACATGCCGTGGCGGTAGAAGCCTTGAAGAGGGCTGGAAATAATGTTAAATTGGTAAGTTTAACTCAATATTTTTTTGTTATCACCATAAGCTCTGGTTTTTGGAAAAAGAAGCTATTGAATTGTTGTGGTTAGTTATTTATTAATATCAATACAATGCGTGCTCTAACCTCAACTAATTACCCCTGGAAAGCGCAACAAGATTTCCCAGTAAAAAGACAAGCACAATGTTTTCATATGTCGATAAATAAAGTGGTCTAGAAGATCAAAGAAACGATTTGTTAATTGCGAGTCACAAGTTTAACCCTGTCGTTAATTAAGTAGTTGTCATTAAATGTTCCTCATATATTTCGTCCTAAACAACTACAAATCAAGTTTGCGAGCTCTTCAAATTACAAACACCACATTCGTTCGTTGTCTTCAATAATGTACTTTTGTGACATATTGAAATTATAACATAAACCGTTTGATTTTAGTTTTATAACTTCAGCAGCAAATGCTTTCCGGTTTGGTTTCACCCTCATGAAAATAGTTAATGTTGTACTTAGTTGTACTGAGTGCTTTACTTAAATTCTATGAGCAACACAAATTTGGTAATATTTTGCTCTATGCATAAAATTTTCTATTCAATTATAATTTTTAATTTGTCCCAAAGTACTTAAGTTTGAGACTTCGAGTTCATGGAAAAACGATGAAATTTCGTTTTTAAATACAAGAATGTTGCTTTCGCGGTGAAATCACTGCACCGTATTGTTTCTTTAATCTCTTTACTTATCCAGCTTTTGTTAATTTTTAGTAGCGCGACTCTTGCAGATGTTCGTACGGACTTGTGCACAACAGTAATGAATAAGCTTTCCTATGCATTTCTGGGGACACACTCAAATGTAAACTGTGATTGATGAAATTAAAGTAGCCTCAGTTTAATTGCCTAATGACATTTTATTTATAGGACAAAATGCATGTTTAAATAAATCAGTACATTTGTTAAATCTTAACGTGAAATGGACAATCGATTTTTTGATCCTATTGAGCGGTTTCTGAGAATTAAAAAAAAAATAATGGGTAGAGAGTCCAGGGTCCGCAACAACTTTAGTCAATGAAAAGTCGAAAAACAAAATAACTGTGTTTTATAAATTGCACTGCAAAATTATTTGTTATTTAAAAACCAAGTTGTCAAGTTTGGTAAAAAAATTATTTGTTAATTATTCCCAAACCGCTGAATATATTTGAATACAATATAGTAGCAATAGCCATCGTAGAATTCCACTTTGCAGCAAAATATGGAGCTAAGTTTTATTTTGCCAATTTCGTTTGTACGGCTACGTCACAGGATTTGTTATAGGATTTGTTACTTATTGTATTACTGTTCAATTTTGACAACAGTTTTGTGCTGCATTTGAATATTCTCCATCCATTTTAATTTAGTGGTTTCAGACCCCAGAATAGGTAGAAAAATGAAGTTTGATGAGCTGTAACTCGGAAAATATTCATATTTCGAGTTTTTGTTACATGACTTACTTTCATTATTTTAGCATGTAGAATCACCCTTAAAAAAATTCTTACGCAATATCCGAGCACCCTGCATACATCGCTTGAGAAGGCTGTTAAATACCTCGCACATTATATTCTCCGGGCTACGAGTCTGAAGAAATAAAAATGTTCAGTATATAACAGCTTCTTTCTCGCCCTACGTAAATAATACAATATTTTATTGGAAAACGTAGTTTTTATGGCATATAACGCCTAGCAAATTTCATTCCAATATCATGAGCGTTTGGCACTCATTAATAATTTGTTTTTTTTGTGTGAACGTGAAGAACCTGTAGTTCCGTAACGAAGAATTTTTCGAGTATATTCCATAAAACTCATATTACTTTTCGATTCCTCCATGGACTATAAAATGTCTGTGCTTGAATCTGGAACACAGCGGTATTATTTATTAAGTTTGGGGGTTTTGATAAAATTCTCCAGTTAAGTGCAATATTTTTTTATAAACCGTTAACGTCTGAAATGAGATTTAATTACAATTTTTGACCAAACTTAATCGCCCTATATTTACATAACGCAGTATTTTAGTAAAATAGATATTTTATAAAGCAAATTCATATTAGTCTAGAATTTGTCATTAATCTCTAAATATCCTGCATAGAAACTGACCTGACCACTTTGCATAAGCTTAGTTCTATTTTGTTTTCATGCACGACAAATTCTCTCTCGACGTACATCTCAGCTGCATCCATTGTTGGTTGAATTAAAATTATTTCCCGACTACTCGTCGCACAGTGTCCTGGCTTTGAGTCATATTCTAAGCCATCTAAGCCATATATGGTGTGATATAAAGCTTCGTAATGCTTTATTTTGTTTAACTCTTTCCTAAGTAGCTTTTTGTAGAATTCGCGCTATACGATATATGATTTTTGTTTTGTATGGATCCCGTAGTCGTTATTTAATAAGACTTATCTATCCAGTACAGTTCACTAGTATCATTATTTTAAATGAATTATGAGCAATGTCAATTTTACCGAGGTGTTAGTTGCTTCTGTACGCCAAATAGGTTTCAATCGAATTTTGTTAGTACTACTGAAGCCTGTAATGTATGTGGGGTAGATGTACCTATAAATTTAGAAAAAAGAACGTCTCGCTCTCTTTACCAACCAGAGCTGTGCTAAACGGTTATTTTTATGGAACAGGTTACAACGTTGCCGTTTTACTTTGGTATTAAGATTTAAAATTCGGTTCCAAAAGTAACATGTTACTTTTTAAATTTTTCATTTATAATTGGCAATGGTAATGATGGTAGAAATAGTGATAAAGAATGATTTAGTTGATTAAAACAAAATAATTCTTATCATTGGAAAAAAAATATATATTCTCATCGGTTAATGAGTTATAAGTAATTTATTGAAGCGGATTAAAGCTAGACGAGACCCCAGACCGGAATTTTAACATCTAAAAGAAATATCAACAACATTTTTACTTTGTCCAAACAACTATCAAAAGGGACATCTAGATTTTCTCAGCACCAGAACTTAGTCCAAAGATAGTCGACGAGTTTTCTTGTAAAATCGATCTATTAATTTCGCAGAAGTATTTTTGAAAAAAAAACACATAAAATTATCAGAAGAGATCAGAATCAGAATGATAAAAAGATATGATAAAAATTTCAGTTCAGTTCTCCAAGAATCATCAACAGTCAGATCAGTGAACTATTGCTTAGTTTGGAACCTAATATCAAAGTGAAACTGTAACGCTGTTCCAGAAACACAACCGTTTATCACACCTCGAGTGCGAACAACTTTTTCAATTTTATGAGAGTTCCAAAAACAACCGGTTAAATTGGCAAACTGCTGCATCTGGATATATCGCTGAACAGTGTCGAATCGGTTCTGTGCTGGTGCGAATCACTTTTTCTGGCCTATGAGGCGGTTTCAAAAAACAACCGGTTAAATTGGCAAGTGTAACTGCGGCGTCAGGTTAGACATCTGGAACACTGTGATTTTAGCGGTTGCGTTAAATATCGACCATCCCTATTACCAACATGTTTGGTTTTGGAAACATACTTATTTGCCTTTAAATCAAAATGAAACATAATTGTTAACGAGACTTGTTAATGAGGCCAACCTAGTTACTCTGGAAACTGTTTACTTAAAATGTTGATTAAATAAGTACATATATTGAATAAACATTTCTGTGATATGGCGTATCCGTTGGTTGTATTAGTTTATCCAATGAATTATCATAAAAGAATCGTTAGTTACCCCTAGAATTATATTACGAAAGAGCTCTGGTTAAAGCTGAAAGGAAATTGCAGTCATTTTGTTTCGTGATCCGGATTTTCCAAGATGTGGAGGGTGTAATATTGCGACCCGCTTTTTATACTCGTATGAGCCATACGTTCTGGATTTAATAAACACATAGTAGACATAAGTGAATTTTTGAAATTTTCTGCCATTTGAATAGTATAAGAAAAATTGATAACTTGAAATTTTTTACCCGTTTTAGTTCATGCTGGTCGCGTAGCAAAGTTGTGCATTTTCCGGTGCAATGTTGTTTGCGTGTTATTTCTTCTTTCGACGCTTACAGGAGCATCAGTTTCTAAGAAAAATTATGATAAATATTCCAAAGTAATCCGTAATTTTTAAGGAGCATTTCTAGTAAAATTTGCGGTTTAACAAAAACTCAAGATCTTATAAATTTATTCAGTCACTATAAGGTTACTCGAGTTTCACTTAAATTAAATTTTAAAATTTACGTACCAAATGATAGCAGATTACTATACATAATTGAGCAATATTATCGTAACTCATTAAATTTATGGTACCTATTTCAGCTTCTTTATCTTTTTTAAACCGCTGGTGAAACACTAATCGTTTGAGGTGTCTTAACATTGTTTCTGACTGAAATGCCGTGTGTCTTTTTTGTTAATTGTATGGAACTTTCTTTGTATTTCAAATAGCTTATTCGTTCAAATATTCAAATATTAACTCTTGCACCTGTATCTCCCTGTAATTTATCTCTCTCTCCTAATAATTTCTCAATTGTAAACAACAAAATAATTTCTATTTCAATTTACTACTGAATATTTTATTGAGTCAATTAACATTTCCTTTAGGTTGTAGGCATACATAGGTATATAAGTTAGGAACGGACTGAAACTGGAGAAATTTGTACAAACGGGTAATGTAATTAGTTTTTATTGCATGATTTGCGCATCTTTTTGAAATTCATCCAGTCCAAATGTTTTTACATTTGTCAACTTTTTAAACGACACGTGAACGAGGATATTGGCTTCTCAAAAGGACGTAATATTGAACGGAAACTGGAATTTCTGAAAGGAAGTATGTTATTTATTGTCTCGGTTATTTGTTCTCAGTAGATGTGGCTATAGGTAATAATAATATAATATACACTACTTTCAATGTAAGTAAGGTCAGTATAGAATTAGCGGAATCGGGAAAAACCAAATTTTATATTATTTGAAGGCTGGGGAGAAGCTGCCTAAACTTTCTTGAAGCAACTTTGAGCCGGCGGGAAAACCACATTTTCAGTTTCATCCCTCTAGTGCATAAGTATTTTTTTAAATCGTTAATTGCTCGCAGAATGTGAAATTTTGCAACAAAAACACTTGAACCGATAACTCAGCAGAGAAAGAAAATATTTGGCTCACGTACTAGATGGATAATAATAAAAACTATTAAAGTTCCGAAAATAACAATTTTTATATTTCGCCATATATTTTATTATTATTTATTGCCAATTGGTACTTCGATTTTGTAATACGGTGTTACGCGTAAGTTTGAAAAAGAAGGATATGAAATGAGGATCGATCACAATAAACTTTTTTCCAATTCAATTTCATACCGAATTAAAGCGCGTACCTATACTTTATTGCTTCAGCATCCGGATCATCGATTATCGCCTGTATTATACAATAATCTGAACTATTGAACTAGAAAACGAGCAACGAATACCGCACCTAGATCACCACAAAATAAATAATCGATAACGGTTACTTTTATACTTTTATTTCTTCAGATGCAGTAATGCGGTTTTGAGATTGATTTGAGAAATTGAGATTTCAACAAACAATGGCACATGTGTATTTAAAAACCAAAGCATTGCGCACTGCAAAGTCTCAAGCAAAAAAAATGGAACAGTTCATGGTGTTATGTGCAAGAAATTATAATTTAACATTTTAGTTTATTGATAAAATATAAAACAAATGCCTGCTTTAGCGGCTAGAATAATATGTTGAACGATAAGTAACATACAGATACTACATTTAAAATATGTATTTTCTACTTATAGGACCATATTTTAAATTTTCCATTTATAATCATTCTCTTTCTCGTGTTGCTGATGTTATAATTTAATTTTCGTTTCTGTTTAAATGCGTTTTATTGTTCCATAATGGCAAATGTCAGTCCAGTCCTCATTTACTTCGGTGAGAATGGGTCTTGTTCTTCAATCTGATGTGGGCAGATAGTTTCGTTCCAATATTGTGAAAGTTTTTCTGTATCTTTCATGTGTTGTCAGCCGGAACGCGCAATGTATTTTGCTCAATTTTGGTAAAAATTGGAATTCGTTTAAGGCTTGTCAACATTTGAAATGTGCCCTACAATTAATTCCTATTTATAACTCACAATATGTTACTACCTACTAAAGATATATAAGTAATTAACTAACATACTTATTTTAAGTTACAGTTAGAATACACAGATTTTTAATGAAAAGATCAATAAAGCAAAACTTCTTCGTTTCGTGTCTCATTATAGAACTGATGTTTTTCAATCAACTTACTACCAGCTACCACCATTCATTGATCTTGATTAGGAGTAGAGCATTTCTTACAACTGGCCTTTCGCAAGTTATTTCCGATTCGGAGCACTCAAATAAAATGATTGCACACTTAGGAAATCTAAAGTCGAAAAGTGTGCACCGATTTCCAGTATATTTTGCTTGAGTCGACTGAGTTTTCCGGTTTGCATTTATTCGAACTCGCGTCTCGGATTGGGTTTTGTGGAGAAATATTTTCGGTTTACCTATACGAGGTCTCTCTGACAGCCGACATTTAAATTGCCTTTTTGTGTAAGTCGATCCACGAGCAACCGTAATAACAGAAATCGACCATATAAGCTGTAAATCTTTCAAATGTTGCTTTCTATTTTATGACGTTGAATTTTGAGTTATTATTAACTGCCCGATATTACTAAAACGAAGCAAATATTATGGTAATTTCCTGTTTTGCAGAGTATTAGACGTCGACGGCAACCTCGTCACATGAGACTAATGGAAATAGAGCTACTTAAGGGCAACAAAGGGCTTGGCTTCAGTATCGCAGGAGGTATTGGAAATCAACATATACCAGGTGATAATGGAATTTACGTCACCAAAGTTATGGAGGGTGGTGCTGCACAAGTTGATGGCAGACTGATGGTGGGGGACAAATTGATAGCTGTCAGAGATGCGGAGGTAAGTGCTTTTTCTTGGTGTCATCAATTCAACTTCTTGCGCTCTCTACAAGTTCCTAGAAATTAAGCTTTGCTTGCTGCCTGAGCAGACCCATATACAGGATGTTTTATAAACAGGGAATACATAATATGACAAAATACCTGAATAAAACGTACTTTTTGACTACAAAGCTGTCGAAATATTGAAATACCTAAGGTTTATAAACTTACCAATATTCCCACTTAAGTTGTTGCCATATAAAACTCATCAAGAAAATACGTGATTGGAGAAAGTCCTAACATCTATTAATTTTTTTAGTTGTGTACGGAGTTGCTCAACAAATATGAATTCATCTTAAGAGCTTTGTGTGTTGAAGTGAATTTCGAAAATGGCTATAAAATACAGTTGATCAAAATTGAAAGAAAATTGAAATCTGCAATTAGACAGATTTACAGTTAGCTTTTATAATTTCGGCTTCAATTATCTACAAAAATCAATTTCAAATGTTTTTTTAGTTTAATTTCAATTATGAACATTTATATCTTTCTTTTAAATTCAACACGTCTTAACCTTTCAGTTACATACTAAATAGGAGATAATTTTGGAAAAAAATCATTAAGCTCGTTTTTTCACCATAGATTGATGTAATTCCCTATTTGAATTTATTTTACAATTTTGTGTGTTGTTCCAAATTAATAGCTCTTCGAATAGAAACTTCGTATACTACTGAAAAATACTAATTTCTGATGGTTGAATATGAGGTTTTATATAATCTTTATGAACGAGATCTGTTTGCAACAAAATGGTAATAAGCACGTTTTTATATGGCTGTAACTTAAGTAGGCAACTGAAGATAAGCGTGTTGTAGTGTTTCTGTCTTGAAGAACAAAATATTGCAAGCTGATGTTTTATGACAAGAATTATGGAGGGGCCATTTATTGTGAGATTTTCCTGAGCCGAAAATATAATGTTTAAAAACGTTTCAATTTGGGTGATATGACTTTATATCACAAACACTGCTATTGTCCTGATCTTTTCTATGATTGTCTTGGCATCCAATTAGCGCAATTAGCCTCGGTGTCTTCAGCTTTGAGTAATTGTAATGGTTTCAGAGGGGACAACAGCAGCTTCCAAAGTCGCTACAATGAATGTCATCCAACACATGCGGGATTGGACACTTCTAAAAGCCTTGCAATTATTTTAAGTTGGCAGTTTCATTTGACTGATTATTAAAGAAAACGGCTTATTTTTTATTTTACTGCGCGGTGTAAATTTGGTGTTTAAGTCAGTGTGAAGAACGTATTTAGAGTTACGTAATCATAAACATGCAATATTATGAATTTCACTATAAGAATCAATAAAAACCTGAATCGGGTAAAACCTGTTTAGTTCGACGGATGTAGCACTACTACCGATGAAACTTTAACGCAAAAATGTAAGAGTGATTTTTCTGGTTTTTATTAATACCGTTTAGTGACCCAAGTATTAACATTGGGTCACTTTATATCGCGACATTCAATCGAAATTCGATAAATTTAAGTACGTTTTAATAAAAATCAAAGATAATTGGAACCATCAACCGGCATTCTTGGAACTGGAATGTACTTTCTTTAGAACGTTGAATTGTAAAATTAAGTACATAGTTGGTACAGGGTTTAATTCTAATTTTTTTAAATTCTGGAATGCATCGTTTTAAAATCTTGAAATAAAAACATTACTATTCAATTTGAGGTTAAACATTTTGCAATCGGTAGCAGCCAGAAGTTCGTTCATAAACACAATAAAGTCAATAAAAAAGTTGTTTCATAATAAAGTCAATAAATTTAATGGAATATTGGTTTTGAAAATATTACAAATGTTACTTGTTGATGTTGAACTCCATAATAAATTGAAGGGCAAATGGAATAATTCTCGCCTCACGTTTAATGGAAAAGAGAAAACAGTTTAATAATGTTTTTGGCCATAACGTCCAAGCCATTGCAAAGTGCAGAGTACAAAGCAAGGGCAAGTAGAAATAATTTTAAAAAAATTCAAATTTTACAAAAATAAACGTTTTTAGGGCAGAAAGACCGATTGGGTCGATAGCCTTTTTCTGTAGGAAATAAAGATTATTTATATATATATATAAACGTTTTTAAATTAGCCATTGTTGCACCTTATTACAAAGAGCAAAATAAAGACAGCGATGTTCTCTGGATCTCTGCTATTAGCAAAATCACAAAATATTAAAATATTCTCAGTTATTTCCGTTGCCAGTCGAGTTGTAATTAAATTACCACCAAAAAGTACCTGAATTTCTTTTTGCCTCTGAAAGTTTTGATTAAAACTACTCTTCTTTGTTGCTCGGTTCTAAGGAAGACTTAAGTTCGAATTAAACAATATCCGGATATTAACGTTGCACTGTCTTCGTCGAAAAATTACAGGTAAAATGCAAGTTGAGGAAGAAGTTTGAAATGTGGAAACTTCCTGAAATTTTAATCTGGCAATTTTTGTTGTTTGAAGACTTTAATTTAAAGTGGAGCCATTCTTTTTGCTACTGAATAATTGCAGTTTTCATTTATTTTTTTTTCACTAGTTTTGGAACATATTTAGTTTGCGCTGAAAATAAATTAAAAATAAACATGTTTTTCGTTTGAATGATCATTGCTCGCTTTTTACCAGGAATCAAATGCATAAGGTATTTTTAATTAAATTTATTATTCATAGTAGCCTCAAAAGTTCAACTTCAGAAGATATATTTTGTAGTATTAGCGATAAGCTGACTTATTGATTTTCCATAATTGTGATTGTGATATACAGGGTTGCTCATTAGTGCGTCAAAGTGCGATATCTCAGTAAATATGAACTTTAGAGAGAAAGAAAATTTTTAAGAAAATACGTCCTACGAAAGTTTTTCATGTTTAAAAGGTCCACATTTTAAAATTACTTTCCAATATACGGGGTGTATCATAAACGTGTGGTAG